AGCCTGGCCGGGCCCCATGAGGGGAGGCCCGGCCACCAGGCGCTCGCATTCAAGCCCCAACCCCGGGCCTGGCTCCAGGGTGGGGCCCCGGCTGTGCCATGCCGGGCAACGTCACGGTCCTTGATTTTAATCTATTCATAAAGGGCTTTTGAACTGCTCTTAGTCTGACCCGTCACCCAGGACCTGTTTGCCTTGGGAGACCCTACCAGGGACATATAGCCCCCGACAACATAGCTCCTAGGATCACTCGGGTACTCAAACCCCTCCACCACAATAAGGTGGCGGTTCAAGGGGGGGTGTTATAAATATGCCATTTGATATACAGTATGTGCTCTGGTTTTATTTAAAAAAAAAACAAAAAACATTTTGGGTCAGCATGTGTTTAAATTGTCTGAAAATGCTTCCACCCTTTAATCAGGTCATCTTTATTGATATGAGTTTAAATCTGCAAGAAACTGAAACAAAAATGAAATAAAATGAACCACAGCAACATTGTTAAACTGTTTTCCCAGTAGCATCAGAGAACTATGGGATTATTACATCATAATACCTTGAGATAATTCAGACACAGGCAGTCTGAACCAGTATTTATCACATATCACAATGTTCAACTAAAATGCATGCAGTCCCACATAATAGAATAGAAAGGCCTTCATTAACCTTTAGGGCTCACACAAATCATGAATATGTAAATGTATGCAGAATAGGTGTGATAGATGTTAGAGGACTGATACCACCTGGTCTATACGTCTCCTGAATGATGTGCTGTTTGTGTGGATTTATAAACGCCTTTGTTTTCTGGGCTCAGATTTGCATTAAAAATGACAGTAAGGATCAGTGTTTAGCCGAGACCACGTTACTGTCTTAGGTCCATCTGTCAAACAGGATTTTGATTGTGTTGAGTTTTCTTCCATATTAGGAGAAGCCTGTTCACCATGTGATGTATGGTATTAGAAATAGTGTGTTTTCAAACTGATTAATATTACCTCATGCAACCAGTAATGGACTGACATAATACTTTTTGTGAGATTGATTTTAGACAACCACACTCACTTTCTGGATTTGCTATTTTGAAAAACTGAGTGCTGGGAAACATTTTACATAAAAATTGTCTAAAAATGTTGTTTTTTTTCTGTGTATTGTTACATTCCAACAGCCTCAAATTACTTGTTTTTCTTGTAGCCTAAAACTGGTAATTGTAGACAAACCTCCCAGCATGCACCAGGTGGTCTCACCAGCATAATTCTCACATTGTGTGTGTTCCATTTGTGTTTAACACTGTGTTAAACAATGTTTTTACTGTTTCCACGTTTTCCATTAATGCAGTTAGCTCCCAGTAAGAGTGTACACGACTAACGTTCAAAAGTGTGTTGGCCGTTAATCCAAGGGCTGGTGGTAGAAAGCGCTGCCTCTTCCTCTTGTCCTCAGTCGAGACATTAACCTCAAATTGCTCTTGTTGAGCAGGCCACAGCGTGCACAGCATGACAGATGGCAATATAATACTGTGCTTGTATATGTTCTGCTAAAACAGTTTCCCCATACTTAAATGAAACCCTTTTATCAGGGAGATAAATGGAATTACATTGATTCAACATCAAAATATTTAGAATGAGTCATTAAAGCTGAGTAAAGGAAACATGAGGCTACAAACTTAACACCAACTGTGTATCAGATTTCCTCTTTGGATCAATGGTGCACTGGGTCATTGGCCTCACATGGTAGACACTCCAGAGGGACAACAGCTAAATGAGTTTAACCTCACTGATATTTACTGAGAATTCAGTCATAAAAGGAGATTATACAGATGGTTGATAAATGAAATTAAAAACCGTCAAAGTGTCTCATTGAGGTGTTAGGCCAACATGTGCCACAAGAGCAGTTTCAGTGCTCCTTGGCATTGACTCGCACAAGAGCAGTTTCAGTGCTCCTTAGCATTGACTCTCCAAGCTTCTGAACGCTACAGGAGGGATGGATACCATTCTTCCAAAAAATATTCCCTCATGTGATGTTTTGTTGATGGTGGTGGAGATGATGTCTAACACTTCACGCCAAAACCTCCCACAGGCGTTCGCCTGGGTTGAGATCTGATGACTGTGAGGGCCATGGCATATGATTCACCTCGTTGTTACTCATCAAACCATTCACCGACCCCTGGTGCCCTATTGATGGGCACTGTAACCCTGGAAGAGATTGCTCATGTATTCAGGCTTTGCCTTTAATTTATTGCCTATCTGTAAGACCAACTAATTACACATTTTGTGCTCTCACCACAATCCTACCACAACATAATAAATGCTAAATCAACATTGATGCTCCCCATAATGTGCACCATGAAACAGAACCTTATAAATGGGAGGTCTGGCTTCTTACCTTTGTGCATCCCTGTGTATTTATCCTTTATCACTGTCAACTCATAGATCTTGCCAAACTGCTCGAAGATGGGCTTCAGGTCCTTCTCCTCCAGGTTTCGGGGTATCTGCCCGATGAAGAGCTTGATTGCATCAGGCTCCTTCATTGAGAAGTCTGGGTAAGAATATTAACACACACAGAGAGTGGGGGCGGTCAGGAGGAGCAGACAGGAGCCCACAGGCTTAAATTCACACTGCACAGGAGGTGCAAACATGAGGCTGAGGATGGAGGTGCAGATGGGAGCTTTCAGTGGGAATGGGAGGGTGAAATAATAGTTGCTACAGCCTCTCGTACATGGAGGTTCTAATCCTCTAGTAGATTTTAAAATCATCAAAGACATACCACCATAAAACACATAAGAAACCACAGTCAAACATCAATTACATGATTATAGAATATTAAATTGATATAGTCATGAAAGAAAATAGGGCCACCTGAACTCACCATTAACTATCACACATACAAGGCAGGAGCTATGACATATTCTATAAAAATAATTCATTTTATTTTAGAAAGATTTGTATGCACTGACATTTTTTTTTTACAGAATTCCTAAACAGTTGAAGCCGCTGTTTTGTGTAGATTTGCATAAAATGCAACATTAATAAATAATTAGGCTCATATCATATAATGTCTTTGCCAATGTAAATATATAAATATAAAAAAAAAAAATACACGTCGTAGTAAACGGTAGTAAACATAATCTCTGCTTGGACCGAATTCGGTCTATTCAAGCCCCCACGGAAACATAACAGTGTGTCTGTCAACACAGCTGGAGACCTGCACTCTTTGTCAAGATGTGGGTGAAAACAACGACCCGAACGCGATTTTACACATTTGACCAAAAACACAAAGCAAGAAAGAGTTTTTTTTTTTTTTTTTACATACCTGTGGTGCTGTTCGTGGCAAAGAATCGGTGTAATCGGTAGATGCCTTTCTTCTCCCCCTCGCTGTTTTTTTTTTAAAGATATTACACCTCAGTTATTCAGTTCATTTGTCTGTGAGAGCGTCTCTGGATCCTCTAATAAGTTAGGCCTGTATCCCCCCCTGTAAAAACACAAGTAACGTCCAGCGACGGTCCTTTATGAGCGTGTTTTTCTGGGTCTGCTTGTTTCCCCCTGCTCTTTCCAGACAGATGCTCCGTTTTGTTTTGTTTTGGGGGATTTTTTCCCTCCAAATAAATGTGACATAAAATAAACAAACCTCTCACTGGCTTCGCTAAATGGTGAGTGCTGAGTTAAATGAATGTTTAGGCTTCCTTCAGTATTCGACAGGGAATTGGCTGTCTGGTTGGTTGTCCTCTCCTCTCCGGGTGTGCGCGCGCGTGTGTGTATGTGTGTGTGCGTGTACTCCTTTGACGTCGTAAGCCGGTGTCTCCCTCCCCGTCCATCTCAGCTCCATCCCTCCCCTGGGCTGCACGAGCCGTGATGTCTGCCGCAAGGGACCGTCACTAAACTAACAGCCCTGTGACAGCCGGGTAGGCCGGAGCAAAAGGAGACAAAATAAACAGCCAGTGCGTTATATAATGTGATGGCGAGCTTTTGTCAAGAAAGCTTAACACCTTAAAGTTAATTTTTTGTTGCTGTTGCATTATTTACTGATTTTATTTCTGTTTAGTTGACTGATATTTTAATCATCAAAAACCAGTGTCTATTTTGATGGAGCAATATGCAAAACAAATATTCTTGTATAAAAATTATTTTTGCATCATCCTATTTTTCCTTCCTTTATCTAATTGCAAAGGTGTCCTGCGTGGCACCCAACAGCACCCATTTGTGGCATTTAAGGCATGTAATTTGGCATGCAACTAACATTTATTTATATATTGTAATTCAGTGATTAACTGTTAAACTATTAATATAAAATATTAGAAAAGAAAATTGTCCATCCCAGAGCCCAACTGTCCAAAGACCAAATATATTATGATTAAAAAAAAAAAAAAAAAACAGAAAAATTTCCCCCTTCCCACTTCAGAAGCTGAAACAAATGATTTTTTTTTCATTGTTGTCATTTTTATTACTATCAAAATAAAAAAAACGTTTTTTGTTAGCCACTAACTGATTGACTAATTACTTCAACTTATCACACTAAGGAGGGCGTTTCTCTGTCTTTTGATGCATCAATCTCAAAGACATATTTTCCTGTAGTAACAATAACTTTATATATTATTTTTGTTTCCCCCACTACTACCTTCTTGTATTACCACCATACTTTGTATCACATTCCCGGGTGGTTAATTGAAACACCCATTTAATGCTCATAATAAAGTGTTATACTGGAGAAATGTAACACCAGCAGGAAGATGAACAGTCAGTTTCAATATAATTCATTTTAATTCAGGCAATGTTTTTTTCACATATTCCAAACAAAATAGAGCAGGGCTGCAGTCAATTTGAGATTCCACTGAACATAAAGATATTCACATAGATCCCATCAGTGTATGTTTGTTAGTTTAAATACAGTTGACATCAACATGAAACCCCACTGGCCGTTTACTGAAAAAGCCACCTTGGTTCCAGTTGCTTCATGCTTTCTACACTGGTTCAATGTGTAATTTGGTGAACATTTAATATAAGAAATGGGTACTTCACTTATCTAAGACAGTGATGCTTGTTATGATACTCAGCTATAAATGTACTCAACCTGGCCTTTATTTATACCCACTACTGTGAGGGGTCAGCAGAGGCTGGACCCAATATAGCTCACATAAGAAAAGGGGTGAAGCCTGGACACATCATCAGTCTCCACATAATATATACTGTCTAAAGAAGTGGGGGGAGTTAAATTCAAATTTACACCAATTTAGACTTGCCTATTAACCTAACATACTGGAAACCAGTGCATGCAGAGGAAAATCACACAACTAGAGGGAAGAGCATGCAAACTCCCCAAAGAAAGAGATCGAACACGTCAAAGGTCAATTTCTGGGTATCTTAAGTCTGTAAAATTCATTGACCACAAAACCGATCCACTGCTAGGGTTTTATATGACTATGACCTATAACACACATTAAAATCATGCTGAAAGACATGTAGATCAAAGGCATATTAAATGTTAGACAATCAAATATTAAGGGAACCGATTTAATCAACAACAAAAGACAGAAGAAAGACGGGGCTGTAAAGAGGTCAGGAGGAGCTTGCTCTGAGGGGGGGGGTTCTCATATTTTTCGCTTTTCATGTGGTCGGTTAAAAAGCTGACGGCCCCTAACAAGCGACGCAAATCCGCCTTTTGTTCTCGCCGTGGAGCTGGCCGTGGTCCTTAAAAGGCTCCACCAGCTCGTCAAACACAATCGGGGCTGCAATATTAGTACTCTGAGAAGAAACATATGTTATTTCTTTAAGTGCATTAGTAAACGCAGGGGCCGTAAATTCACAGTACACACACGCCCTTTAAAAAATCTCAACAGCATGTAAACAATGAGCCCACATGACAGCAAGCTGCACACACCCGCCATGCGCACACGGCGACGCTTCAAAGGAGTCACGATCTGGACCTGTCTGGCTCAATCACAGGCAGCAGCATTACAGTGTTTACTTAAAAAAAACAGCAAACGTGGGGGCACAGCTCTCACTATTGCCACACCATTAATTCCTCCCGACTGCAGAATATCTCGTCGGCTTGACTCTAATGCCATCTGCTATCGGTCACTAAATCCTATCTGCCTTCAACACCAGTACAGTGCAGGCGTGTCAAAGACTTTGATCAGCTGTAAATGGATGATAGTCGTAACTGCGATTCGGAAACGTGATTTGAACCATTTTCACAATGGATGGCATTTTTATTTCAGAGTGTAACCAACAACGACATCTGGTGACGAGCTGCAGACATGGACGCCAATAACGGTGTTCATGTTGCTGCTGTGCTTCAAGTATATATGGCTGTTCAAAAGCTATCCGGGAAATTAAATGTCTTTTGTGCTTTAAAACAGTGGAGGAATATACTGGTTACATATATATATATATGAAAGTAAGAAAACTGGGTAAAATACTCTGAGTAAAATATGACCATGAATAGATTACTGAATGGGTCGGGGGGGGGCCCTAGACCAGAGCTTCTGTATGTTGGTTGTTAAAATCTCAAGCAAATGACTATACAAAGAAATGCAATATGACCAGAAAGAGATGCAAAATAAGTAAAAAGGAGAAGAAAAATGACAAAAAGAAAGCAAAACAGCCACAAAGAGACACATACTGTAACAACAAGGAGACAAAATGACTAAAAGTGTCAAAAAAGAAACACAATGAGTAAAACTGACTGCAAAATGACCAAAAACAGATGCAAAATAAAGACCTCTGGCTAAGACTTGCTCCTAAAAACATATTTTAAAATAAGAAATACACTTTGTTAGTGAAGTCGTTCAATCTGCATTTTGAATAAGAAAGTATAAGGTACATTGCTGAACTACAATTATGAAAAAATAGATTATAGAAAATACGTCAAACTAAATGTGCAATCACAAAGGGCTGGAATATTTCAATGTGCTATAAACTAAAATGAAACCATGTATCTTCAAATTACGTCGATTGTTGATACAACCAAGAAATTAACTCTTCCTTTGTGTGTTGAGAAAATTATCTTAAAGCCTACAGAAAATCTCATTGGACTACATGACAAAAAGGTTTTTCTTATGAAAATAACCTTGGGAGATACATGGTTTTCACAGGACATAAAACAGCTGATGCACATTGGTGTAAGACAATGTAAATGAGCAGACAACACAACCTTGTGTTATTATCATACTTTATTTCATAAAAGCATCAAATTTAATTCACTTTTTTACATATAGAAGGTGAATGAATGTCTGCTATTGTTGAAAGCAATGTGAGGTAATTGCGTGCTTAAGTGAGACTATGAATAAAGAGAACATAATGTTTAAAAACTATTGAATAATCCTGACTGTACTTACTCACAAGGGCCTCTCTGTCCAGTCTTGCTGCTCTCCTGAGAGAAAGAGATAAACAATTTTAACATTTAATTTTCTCAGTCAATATTGATTGGTTTGATTTCCTGCAGGTGGCACTCAGTTTATGAAGTATGAAACTGGAGGCTTACTGCTGCAGTGCACAGCATTCAGACCATGAAGAGTCATTGCACTGGGGAGGTGCAGGATTCAAAGAGGAGCGTCGCCACCAGCCTTAACCCACTTCCATCAGTTAACATGTGGAAAGGGCTGCCTTCACATCAGACACATCAAAGCATGGCTCCGGGTCCCTGAGGATGAAAACAGGAGGTAGGAGGGAGGAGATGAAACAGGAAATAGGTTAAAATCCAAGGGAAAGAAGATTTGTGCAAGTGTAACACTCAAGAGAGTAAATACTAATTTCTCACACAGAACAAATTAAAAAACAAAAATAATGAAGCATTTCAGTACTTTCAGTGCAATAAACATCATCAACAATCTCCCTGACACATATGAAACAGGCCTAATGCTTTAATGCTCCTGGTGGTTTAACGAAGTAGACGTACAGTCAACACGCTCCTGGAAGAATCTACTGACACCTAGCGGCGGCTGACTCACCTCAGCTGACTGCACCATTTACAGCCTCGGCTCGTTTATTACCCGTCTGCTTATCACCGGAAATGCGATTCTCAAAATATAGTCCATCTTAATTTGTTTGACCTCGGTCGATCTTAAACCAAATTTACTTTCATTATGTTACCTAACGCCGCATTTTCGCAGCGTTGCGTGAGCGCAATGACCGCAACGTCCTGGCTCTTGTTAAAGTCAGTCCTCACTTCCTTAAACAAAACCTGTGATAACTCAATTACGGATTAATGAGTTTGAAACTCATCTAGATCGACATTTTAAAGAGCGGTAATAAATGTACACGTCTCTTTTAAAACTACGAGTTAAGATTTAGCGTGTCTCTTTATTAGCAGCCTGCAGCGCGTAGGAGTGATTTGATTTAGTCGTCCTAAAAAGAAACATTCATTTTAGAGCATAAAACACAATTTTACTACAGTGTAGCCTACTACACGGCTTCAGGCCTAATTAACTACGTCTAATATTTAGTAAAACCTATCAATTAATTAAGTAGTATGCTTACTAGTTCTTTTGTAAAAACGCTCAGTATCACTGATTATCAAACTTTGCTCCTGTGTGGAGTCAGTTTGGCCTCAGGCTCCAGTGGTCCCCATATTCCTCTCCTCCACTTAGTGAACAGGAATATGTTATCTACTGGTTCACTTTCACCTGTCTGCAGGAGAATCTGTTCATTATAAACAAATCTACTGTTTTCAGTCAGATGTACAGATCTATTCTTGTTTCCAGGGCAAATGTTAGATTAGTACTAGTATTGTTAATATCAATCTAAGCACGAGGACGGAGGAAACTCCTCCATCTCCTACAGGTGACTACACTTGACACAGACCTGTGGGGTTCAGTTTGCTGTGGCCAAATAAACAAGATTCATACAAGATTGTATGAAATGGTCAATTAGACAAACAGCAATGTCCGCACCAGTTAAGTATACAGCCTCAGTGTGGACATTTATGTCTATAGTTTAAAAGCCTGTGTTTAAATAGTAACTATTTACAGGCCAGATCCTTTTCTTTTCTTTCTTAAAGATTATAAATTTGCTAATGTTTTTCTTTAGAAATAGTTGCATATTTAGTACAAACAGCAAGTACCTAAATAGTACAAAAAGCTGAATTTAGTTAAGTTTCAGGTGTTGCACCTAGTCTAGTTTTTGAGTGCAACAGTACTTTGCACAATAAACTATTTTAGACATGACAGCAAAATGATACTTTGACATTATGCAGTTATTTTGATTGAGATATTAAAATCATTTTAATGATTGAACAAACCTATAAATTAATTCTATAGTGTAATTTTAATTCCCTTTGTTTTATCACACACAATGGAATGTCCTTCTGACAATGACCAAAGGAATGAGGTACTAGTTTAAGCACGCTCTAATGTTATATACAGAAGCGGACAAGTAGTTTAGGGCAGTGGCAAAACAGTCCAAGGATCAGAAAAAGGAGAAAAAAAAAACCCCAAAACAGAAAAAAACAACACATTTTTTCAACTCAGATTTTTATTATTCAGTACAAGTAAAATGAAATTGAAGACGAGAATCTTCATCCTCCCCAAAAATGAAAGTCTTCTGCGTCTGTGTTGAAGGCTGGAGAAAAAAACAACAACCTCTCTCTCCCTTTGACTAGATTTGTGCTGCTCTCCTTCAAGGAAATTAACGCCGAAAACTATCGCCCATATGATCTTACGAACTTGTGGAGAACGCACCGCTTCATAAATATAACAATCTGAATTAGAAAATTTTCTCTTAATATGCTACCATGTATTGTAGAAGGAACAGAAATTCTATAATATACACTCTTGTTTCATACCCCAAACGAATTTTAAATTGGTTTTTAGCAACAGCTGCTCGGATACTGCTAATATGGAAGTGGAGTAGTCAGATCTGCTCACTGAAGAACTAAATGACAGCAGAAACAATGCACCAACTACATTCTTCTCTTACTGTTAGCACAAATCACTATCTTCAGATTCAACTTGGAAAAGAAAGAGGAACAGCCTTGGGACTAGTTGACACACTGGCCTATATCAAAATTATACTCAATTTCTTATTTAATGCAATGATTCATACTGGAGCAAAAAGTGAATTATATATATATATATATATCCACCTCTTATTTTCTTTATTCTTCTGTCTTCACTCTTCAGTTCAGCAGCCCTCTGAATCTCCATGTTCTTGTACACATCGTGGGAGTTTTCTCTTGTGATCCTCAACTGTTTGACCACCCTTTATCTGTCGCCATTGTCGCTTTTCTTCTGACAGCTACTGAATTAATTCTTCTTCAATAAAACCTTCTGAATCCCATATCAGTATCTGCACTTTTCAGAAGTTTCTCACTGCAGGGCGTGGATCTTTGTTATGTCCTGTCCCTGCCTTTATCACACCCACAGTGATTTAGAGAGCTCAAAGCTAGCTTTGACCAGTCAGTAGCGTGGGGGTGGAAAGGGTCTTTTTGGGGGGAACATTGGACCAGCATTTCCCCTTCCTCTTGGACCTGGACGTTTGCCTCTTAACATTGGATCAGGGCCATGGAACTGAGGAAAGGGTGCATGTGGGGGTGCCCTGGGGTGTGGGTGATGTGCTGGGTGGGGAGGCCGAGGTGGAGGTCGTAGTCCAGGATAATGCATTTCAAGATGAGGTGGTGGTCTCCTCAGACCGTAGTGCGGAGGAGGGGGGCTGTGCCGCTGAAATTCATGAGCAAAATAAGGGTCCTCAGAGGGTGAGATTGGGGGAGTCAGGCGCCCTTGACCTCTGGGGTAGTAATGTCTAGGGCTACCTGGCCTGATATATGGATCATCTGGGTGGTGGTAAGGGTCATCTTGAAAGAAAAGAACATCATGACGGCGGAGCTCATCGTGGTACTGTTCGAGCTCCTCCTGGTAACGCAAGTCTTGTGGGTGAGGGTGTAAATCCTCCTGGTGATGAAGGTGAGGTCGGTCAAGTTCAAACGGCAGCTCTTCTGCATGAAACAAAGACTTGTGTTGATGGTCATGCACCACCATCCCACTGATAACACTGTTGGCTGTGGCTCCAATCACATCTGTTTTTGTGCAGGGAATCGGCTGTTGGTCTTGGGCAATCATTGTACTGATGGTTGCAGAAGGCGGGGTGTCATAAACACGAGGAGGGGGAGGTAGATTTGGGACAGGAGGCAAGTTGCTTGTGAAGAAACCAGGGGATGTGGTGGCAATCTGCTGGGAAGCCAACTCTTGAAGTTCCTGAGCCCGCTCTGCTTGGCATGGATAAAGTCCTGACATCTTGTTTTCTCCAGCCCCTCCAGGCGCTGTCACACTGTAGCCTCCGGGTTGCTGAGAGTTGCCCTCTGGGTAAGTGTCACTATACCAACCTCTTTCACAGATACCCTGAAAGCCTTCAACTGTCTGTGCGCTACTGGAACTGCCTGGGGCTCTTTCTCCAGGCACTGGCCCCCCTGCATGTGCAGAAATCTGCTGGTAATATGCAACAGGTTCACTAATTCTGTGCTGTGACCCCTCCTGTTTATCATATGGGTGCAGGTGTTGGACCTGCCCATTCTGAGCCACAGGTGGCTGCAAGTGAGCACGCTGCTGGAGAAAATTGGAGATCTGCTGAGGGATATTCTGGTGTGCAAAAGGAGCTGTTTTAAAAGATGACTGATTTGTGTTGGAAACGAATGGGAACCCCACAGGTTTGTCCATTATCTCATCTTGAGTTGGGGTGCCTCCACCCTCATCCCGCACTGGTGTCCCATCCTGGGTGTCTGTTCCAGTTACCGGGCTGAGATTATCCCCCCCAGGCACTGGGTTTGCAGAAAAACCCAGGTCAAATGCACTGAAAGCAGGATTCTCCTGCAGGAAGCTGTGGATTTTAGACTCTAAACTCTTAGAAGACAAGGATGGTTCGGGCTCTGTTGTCAAATCCATGTCTCTATGGAGAGCCTGCACCAGGGCAGAGGCTGTGCTGGTAGTTTGAAGGGGCGCTTGGGAACTTAGGCTCTGTGTTACAGTAGAGCTCTGTGACGAAGGCACAGGCGCAACAGAGGAGAGGGACAGGCTCTGAGAGGGTGCTGCTGATGCAGATGTGAAAGCAGAAGAGGGAGGAGTCTTGCCTGTACTCAAGGAGTCTGATGAGACATTTGCAGCTGGGCTGCTCAGAAGAGAAGTGATGCCTTAGTGAAGAAAAGAAGAATACAGAAGTGTATTTTAAGCAAGCATACGGCTTTTAATGTGAAATCTAAAATTAATACACGATATAAAAAGAGGTAGTTTTTTTTTTTTTTACAAAATAAGCACTTATTCTAACCTTCAAGGCTGCCTTGTTCCTGGACTCTGGACAGAGCACTGAGGAGCTCTGCAGGATTCATGTCCACCTTGGAGAGGAGGTCTACCAGTGAACTGGCATCCTGAGAGGGTACAACATCAGCAGATGTGGGTTTTACTGAGGAGCCAGGGGTAGCTGCAGGAGGACTTTCCATTAACGGTCCTGCAAGACAGACCAGGACACTCACTCTAACTGTACATCACCACAACTTATAACTGAGATGTTAAGAGTGTAAACAGCAAAAGCACTTGTGGATTTCAGAGAAATTACAACTATTACTGAAGGATGTGTGAACAAACTACATATATAAGCAAGAAAAATAGATAGCAAAAAGACATTTGACAATCTTAATCAATCCTGTTGCAGACATTTTTAGGGCTCTCACACAACACATTACATTTTCAAAGTTGGTTAGTTCTTTCACACCAGATGTCAGGAGACTGTTACCTGCCCATTCTGAGCCACGCCTGGCTGTGAGCTTCCAGTTCTAATCATCAGATTAGATTTGTTATGTACACTTACATTTTATTTTACTTTGAAAGAGCTGAGCACAGCTTTGGCTGTGAGGTTTAGTGACAAAAAAACATGACATCAAAACAGATCTACTTCATTCACAATTTCAATTTGACCTGATTTTGTGATGTCAGTATTCACCAGAACTCACCTGTATTCTTCATCACTGAGCTTAAACTGTTGAGGATGGAGCCAATTTTACCCATGTGAGCGTTGTCCAACGCTGCTCCAGAAGAGGCTACAGGAGACATAACCTGTTTGACAGGCTGCTCTGTTGCTGCTGATGGCTCATTACTTTCAGGTACTGTAGTGGACACCTCTGGGTGAGGGGAACATTCAATCTGCTCCTCAACTGAGGAGAAAAATATGGCAATGAGAGCACTGAGAGACAGATATATTATAATTGATTTTAGGCCATACAGTTATTTTGTCACTTCAAGGGCAGATGATTTCCAGGTAAGGAGATCTCACTCCTTTAACTGTTAAATTAACAGTGGGGAATATGCTGCAAAAATACAGACAGTGGTACATAAGTAAGAGTAGTCCTGCTGTACGCACCCATGGGCTGGCACTGATTTACAGACCAATGTCATATTTCACTGGTGATAGCAAACCATAATGCTCGACAGATACGTTGTATGTGATTATTGTACAACAGTTTATATTCTTGTCTTTTGTGACATAGAAAACCCTTACAGAACTAGAGTTACACACAGGAAACTTCTATTTAACCTCAAATCATTACTGAGTAGGACACGTCTTCACTGCAGTCTCTATGTTTCATTCACTTTACTAGAGAAGAGTATTTACATTAAGCAGGAGGTTTGCAGTGGAAAGCAGCACAGTAGTGAGACTTTCTTAACCTTCCTTAATGTGGTCTTCATTCTCAGCATTTTCAACCATCATCAAAAACTTGTAGAAGAAAACACAAGCAGCCCAAGCCCACTGCTTTTGGTCCCTAAGTGGTATCTCCACAGCTGCTGTAGCACAGACATGTAGTTACATCTGAGAAAGTGCACGTCACCTATGACACTTGTGTATAGATCCAACAGCTACTCCATAAACCCTAAACAATCTCTCCATCTTTCTATAAAAACCTAGATTTAAAAGCCCTGACTTTGCAGTCATTCTGTAAGGAAGTCCCCAATCACCAACTCACTCCTTACCTATAATGTCGCCACTGCCCATTTCTTCCTCAGAGAGCTCCATGTCCTCCACTTCACGATTGTCATTTTCACCGAGTGGCTCCGGGTGTCTGGGGGATCCTCCCACTGAGGACAGAGGGCTCGGGGCCGGTGGCTCCACCTCATCATCCATAGCAGAGCCATCGAGATCTGGATCAGGGTGGGCCAATGCCAATTCATGGAAAGAGGACTCGGAGCCCATTGGCGATGGTGCATCCGCTGAGGGTGAGGGAAGGGGCGAGTCATCCAGGTCTGGTAAGGTGGATTTTAGGCTGTCCAGCTTACGTTTCAGGTGGGAGACCCGATTAGCAAACGTCTGGTAGGCCTTCAAAGGAGAGGTAATGGAGTGCGTATGTGTGGTTAACAAACCATACTTGTATTATTTTACACAAACCCATGGTCACAAATTATATGAATGAATGTATGGTAAACAATCTCACAGTTGCCATTGTGTAAAGCAATGGTTTCATACATGAGCTGTAAAAAGCTACATGTAATGTAGGTTTCTGACAATTAAGAACTAAAAGGTTAATATGACAAATATCTGACTAATCAATCACTTACATTGGCAACAATCTTGACCTCCTTGTACTGCATCTCATAGAAGATATCTGCATTGCTGAGGGCCTGCAGAAAAGTAGGTCCTGTTTTGATTTGTTTGTCAAAGAATTTCACAAACTCCTGTAGCTGTGTGCTTCCTTCCTCAAAGTCCTTGGAGAACTTCTTTCCTCCTGCCTTATCTGTAAGAATTGAAACATATAGCGATGATTTTTCAGGGAATGTTAGAGAGAAACATCAAAATCGTCGCTGTAGCCGAGACCCATCAGTGTGTTGTGGAGAAGTTATACAGTACAGTAGAAGAGTTGACTCATTTAGGTACCTTTGAGTTTCTTCAGGGCATTAGAACTGCAGATGTCAACCCTCATAGCTGCCAGCTGTTTTTCTCTCAGGTCCACCTCCTCCATAGATCTCTTGTATTTAAACAGTTGATCTATTAGTGCCTGAGGCTAAAGCAGAGGGAGCAGTCAGTCACAATGTTAGACCAACTCAACATTTGGGTAAAGGAGATAACGAGGACAACTACAAGCACATCTATCTTTCACTAGCATTATTTATGGTAATTCACCAAGG